TTTGCACCAAAAAAGAATTGTTGCTCTTTGATTGATTTCTGAAAAATGGCTACCTTCAGAAGAACAGAAAATCAGAAGATGCATTCCTTACTGTATAACGGTTTTGTCATCTTTTCTGCAATACTCCTTGTCATCTTACATGAGCATCTGGGATCAGAAAACTAATTTTGTTCCTAGGAGTAAATTGCTATCACTTCCTAACCTTTCCAACAACTTTGAGGCATGAACTTCCTTTTTGCATTCTAGATATCAGATGGAAATGTGTGCCATGTTATTCTATTCCAAGCATTCTTGCCTGCAGCCTAGCAGTTACTTCGGATCTAAAGCAAGGTCAGATAGACTCAGGGAAATATTCCAGGCATCTTTGTATATTCCTTTTCTCCTGCTGTGATTGCAGTTCAGTTATGATTTCTCTGGTAGTTCCAAGTAAGTATGCATTTGGGGGAGGGGGGAATCCCTTTCTGTTTTTCAAAATGCTTTGAGCCGGAGAGCATATGAGCCAGAGTCACCAAACTATTTGAATACCTGTTGTGCAGCTCCGTATGAATATCACAGGGAGGAAATGAATTGCCGTGGGGCCTGCTGATTCCATCTACAGCAGTTTGGTTTTAACATGAGCACAAATGAGCTGATACTTCCCTCTAGCATTTTATTTCAAGAGGAGAATGCAACTTTTTTGCAGAATATCATCTTGGATCATTTGCCTTAAGATTTATCAAAAATGTATTTCAATAAAAAGTTTATTTGGGATTACTCACACAAGTGGTTTAACTCAGAAAATCCCCTAAATTTTTATTCCACAATTAATATTCTGAGATATATTACAAACCTAAACTTACATCACCTTCAGGGGGTTTTTTACGTTGCTTTTTAGTAGTCGTCGTCGCCCCCCCCCCAAAAAAAAACCCCACTTTTCAAGGGTATTTGAACATATTCCAGAAGGAGTTCTGTGATGAAAACCCTAATGAAGAATCATCCCACTGACTTCCAGTTGTGACATTTCAAATGAAGATACATTCTTGCTTGTCTCAAATCTCTTGTATGGGAGGCAAAAGAAGGGCCTTGGTTTGTCTGCTTTACTTCCAGAAATGTGTTGACAGTATTGATTTGAAATGTTGGCTTTGGAGTGAGGATGGTACTGGGCAGAGTGAAGGATCATTAAAATGGAATACTGCCATAGTAGCGCACAGTGTTCTTGTGGAAAAAGAGACGAAACTTTAATTACAGTTTATATAAAGATGGAGCTGTCTAAAAGAAGACAAACAGTCAGTGAAAGAGATTTATCTAAACTGTTATGGGAGCTCTGTTAAGCAAGACGGTAACATGGTTTTATTTCCTTTTAGAGCAGTCTAATGGAAAGTGTGCATGGATCTATGCTAGCGTCATTCGCCAGATTTAATGCTGACATGGCCCAGTAACGGTTTTTGCTGTGGAAACCTTACTATTACGTGCTCCTGTTGTAATATTTTGCTGATTCTACTGGCAAGTGAACTTTAAACACAGTTGATTGTTGACTATAGTTTATGGCCTACTTACTTATTAAAACAGTATTTGTTGTGCATGGATAAGTTACACATCCCTTTGGAGGAGATGTGGAGGATATGCAGAGGGGGGTGAGGGTATGAGAGGTTCATCACTTAAGTGTTGTTGCCCTTTTAGATTGCTTTTTTGCTAAAGAAAAGCTTCAGTGTGTCACCTCTTTTATACTTTCTAACATTTTTTTTGAAATGTGCTCCTTATCTTTTTATCCAACCTAGAAATGGCCAAACCCACCAAAATGAATTTGCAGTACTCCTGGAATAAAAAGTTGTATTATTAAGTGAAAGTCATGGAAATGTGTTTGTAAAATATATAGCGCAATTGGAGGGCTTTGTTTAATATTGAGATAGAGTTTGAAAGAAATCAAAATGAATTAAATTCAAGTTCCTCTAGTTTTTACATATTTGACTGTATGTCAATCATATAAAATGGTCAGTAATAATCTGTCAAAACCTTAAAGAAAATTGATGTTCTTTAACATGAATAATTGTTAAATGGTATTTCTGTCAAATGTCTTTTAATATTTTCATATGATCTAAGAATGCTTCCAGAAGTCTCCATATCAGGAAAAAAATGTATAATGTGGCAGAGAATACCTAGTTTTATTTCCAAGGTGATTTGCATATGGTTTGCATATCAGTGGGACAGGAATTTAGCCTGAATTTTAAAGGAACTGAACCTTATGCCAAGATAAATTCAGAAACTTTGAGTTCAACTTAAAAACCAAGGGGCATTCATAATCCTTCTGGCATTTGACTCACCAGCCCCCATTGGTTCATTATACATTTGTCCACCTTCTATTCAATATAGATAACATATAAGACTTTTGGTTCCAGCACAAATAATCTGTATTGTATCCGTAGTAGCTTGTGTGGATCAGTAGTAAAATTATAAAGACAAATAAAAAGAAACTGCAAACTCAGCTCACACCAGTTGCAAGTTAATTTAAGTAATCCTCCACTTCATTAAGAAAGAAGGTGGGACCAGTCTTTGGGGTAAGAGTGGTCTTTTTTCAAGTATTGTATAAGTCTGCTAAGCTTAGACTTCAACATTCCAAAAAGCCTGCAGTGACACACTTTATTGGATAATACAGCACACATCACAAGCACATAGCTATCAGATTTACCGTGTTTGTGAATGAAGTCAACAGTATGATGGTGCAGCTAAGAAAGCCAATGGGTGTATAATGTTGAGATCACGGGAGATCATTGTCGAACTCTATTCTGTTTTGGGCAGACCTGTGTCCTGGAATAATACTATATCCAGTTCTGGGCACCACAGTTCAAGGAGGATATTGGCAAGCTAGAAGGTTGTCCAGAGAAAAGCAACCAAAATGATCAAAGATTTGAAAGCTAAGCCTGATGAGAAATGGCTGAGGAAACTGGGTATGTTTAGCTTGAAGAAGAGAAGGTTGAGAGGAGACATGATAGCCATGTTGAAGTATTTGAAAGGATGCCACATTGAGAAGGGGGCAAGCTTGATTTCCACTGCTCTAGAGGCTGAGACACAGAGCAATGGATTCAATCTGCAAGAAAAGAGATTCCACCTAAATTTTAGGAAGAACTTTCTAATAGTAAGAGTTGTTTGGCAGTGGAATACACTGCCTAGGTATGTGGTGGAGGCTCCTTCTCTGGACATTTTTAAGTAGAGGTTGAATGGCCATCTTTCAGGGGCGCTTTGATTGCGTTTTCCTGCCTGACAGGGGATTGGACTGGATGGCCCTTGCAGTCTCTTCCAACTCTGGGATTCTCTGATCTCCTAACATTTCTAAGTATTTATGGATTAAAGATTTACATTGGTCAATCAAAACATCACATCGGTAAATATTATAAAATTTCATATAAGAGGTGAAAAGAGCTACAGGAAAATTGTGTACAGGAATAATTGTGTCATTACTCCGGTTAGTTAAAAATGGCTTCAAATTCCATTTTTAATTAAATGAATATTTTATTATTTCAATTTATTATTGGATATGAACTACAGATTATGGATGATTTCACCTGCTGTGCACTTTTTGCCAAAAATAATGAAAAATAATGAAAAATTGATGACAACCAGCAGTACTAGGTTGGGGCTAAATTTAGATGGTAGGTTTAGCTCTTTTCCAAGCCCATAAAATCCCAAGTATGAGTCAAGGCCAATTTTGAGGTCAAAATTATGGATATTGATATGGATAAGTTGAGGGGGAAGCATCTATGGACCAGTTGTCCCTTACAGCTACTTCCATATCCCCTCCCAAACATTCAAAAAGTTTAGAAGTGGTTCTGTGTCAGAGAGAGGACAAAAAAACTGGTGATTATTTTAAATATTTCCAGGACAGACTAAGCACTTGCATTTTGTCGCTCTTTTCAGAGAAGGGGATGGGTGGTTCCTTTTGATAAGAGTTACGTTACAGTGTTTTCATTGATCTAAATTTTGGGTTTTTTTTTTTTACTAAAATGTCTAGACTTATACATGAATATTTAAGATACTTCCCCCTTTAGATGCTGCTAGTGTTGCCTACTTACAGGATTTCACATTCAGACCTAATTGTGCGTATACCAGAATATCTCATTAATTTTAGAAAATAAAATGTTTCAAATGCTTGTGTTTAAGGAGTTATCCTTTTCTTTCACTTCAGTATGTGAACCAGAAATTATTCTGATAATCCTGAGAAACAGTTTTATCCTAATCGGTAGTCAGATCATTTCACACTGTTTAAAGGCAGGTATTTTTGCCATTCTCTATACAACGTGCCTCAAATGGAAAGTACTCTTTCTAACTATTACTCAACTCACCGCAAGAGGGGCTCCCAGAGAAGAGGGTCCAAAGATACCTTCGTTATGATGCTAGTCTCTATGGAAGAAGCATTCTTTTCTTTACGAGTGAAATAGCAAAATATATTTCTTTCAGCTCCTCTCAGACTAAAGCACAGGTAGTAGTCTAGTAACAAGTTGCCTAGATATATCTTCAAAAGCAGCTTAGTGGTTAATGTACGCATGGGCAAACTAATAAACTGTACAGACACCTCCACCTGTCAGATCCACTCAGACACTGGCATTCCGTGAAGAGATGATGGTTATAAATTATGTCAGAAGGTGAATTGTCCACCCACACATCCATCAACTTGTATCTTCCTGAGATATTATTCTTGGGCTCAGTCTGGTTGGTTGCAAACAATACCAGAAACAGCAACTCAATGCAGAGAGTTCATGCTCAGCTGAGCTTGTAATTCTGAAACTTTGAAGGAATGCAATGGTTGTAGCTGTGGATACTTTGGACTACTAGGGTACTTTTAACACCCAGTATAGTGGGTAAAACTGTCCTAGATAGTGAAGTAATATACAATATGCTTATTTATACATAAATGAATCTGGCTCTGGAATTGCTTGTATAATCTCCATTACTTTGTAGAATTTCTGTTATTAATACAGTCTTTTCTTCTGCCTCCTCCCTTTTCCCTACTTTTTCTCTCCCTCTAGGTTATGTGTTCTGTATGTTACATCGCCTTCCTGAACAGCATGATTGCACATTTGACCACATGGGACGTGGGCGTGAAGAAGCCATTATGAAAATGGTGAAACTGGACCGTAAAGTGGGGAGATCGTGCCAGCGCATTGGCGAGGGCTGCTCCTGAGTTGCAAGACTCTCTACAACCAAATGCTGTTCTCTTAGTTCACTAATGTTAGCCTTATTTAGGACAAAGTCAGCCAGACACCTTGTACTGGGCAAGTTTCAGACTACAGCCAATCAATTTCCTTTCTTTAGCCAACCATCCTGGTACTGTAGTGTAGGGGTTAATGGTGATTGACATTGATTTCTGGCTGGTTGTTAAGGTGCCTGCTAGCCACTGTATTAAAAAAATGAAGAAATATTTTTGAGCATGGGTAGTGGATTTTGACAGAAATCTAAAGGCTTCTATTATTGCAGGAATCAAGCTCTTTAAAAATGAAAAGAAAAGAAAAAGCCTTATGCTGGTAAACTTCCAGCTGAGTAGAAACTGATGTAAAAGACTGCTGTACACACACCTCTGTAGAAGAAAGCCCCCTAAAAGCCTGGTTTTCCTTTCCTCGCATCTAGTAACGTGGAAGGGGTGAAACTCCACTTAGTGTAGCTGCTGAACCCAGAAGACCTAAATGGTCACTTTTACCATCTTCATATACGTCTTCTGAGGTTAAGTAGCATCACCAGCATCAGGGACTCTCTTGAAGTGGGAACATCTTTTATGGAAAACCACAAAGATTGGGGACAGGTTCTTATGTCAACTTTTATATCAATCATACTACAGGGAAACTATTTCTTCACTTGGGTGGAGGAAGACGATGTTGCTCTAAAATTAGCTCCTTTCTGGAACAAGCAAACAGTGTGCATTTTCTACACAGTATCTACAACATTTCTTAAGTGATGTGATCGGATTCCATGCGCCAACCATTGTGGCTGTTTCTCATCAGCCAAAACCGATTGGCTCTTGTTTGCCTTTTGCTAAGTCCAGGTATCTGATAATTGATCAAATAAGGCTAATCCACAGCACAGTAGCCATGGCTGGATCCTACAGATTGACTTTCTGTAGCTGTAGAGGGGTAAAGGACATTTTGTAACAAACGGAATTCAGTAACAGTATGAGGGACAACCAGGAAAATCACCCGTTATTGAACTGAGTTTTTATGCCTCACTTCCAGTATGTTACAGAGATAATCAAATTGGCTGTTCCCAGCCTTGTGACTATGCAGCTCAGTACTCTCAGTCAAGGTCTCTGCCCATCATCTGTTGTGAATGCATTGCATACAATTGGGACTCACCAGATCTGTTCTTTAGAACTGCAGCTCTGTATGTGGCCTGTCAGTCTCATTGAGTTGAACTGTGCAGACTTGCCTTGTGCAACGACAGGAAAATGGCAGTCTCCAGCTACAGACAAAGTTTCTATGAGAGCAAGAATCTGTGCTGAAGTGGCCTAGTGTGGAATCTTTACTCCCAAAATCAGTTAGTTCTTCATTAGCAAGTGATAATTAGGTATATAGTTGGGAGTGGGGAGGGAGGGCTGCTGGAGAGCTTGTTTTGTCTGATACTTAAGTTGTATTAACCCATTCAATGAGCGAATTACCCTCCTGGCACTCTAAAAAAATGTGGGGTTGAGCAGTAAGTCACTGACTTCCATTTGTTGTGAAAGGAAATTACTGGTTTATAGGTTGAAATGTGTTTTTTTTCTGATAGCCAGCTATGGCCTGTGAAGGAGAGTCAGCCTTTGCCTGTATCACAGCAATGCAAATTAGCAATGAAATAAATCTGCAATATATCACGATGCTAAACTTCAAAATGGAGAAGCCATTCTGTGTTGTACTCAAGGCTTTGAAATCGGCAATGGAATTTCCAGCTGCATATTCTGTTTCCTAAGGAAGTACTCCCCTTTCATCAGTATAAGGGGGAAATCAGACAATTTTCTTTTTTGTTTGCCATGAAGAGTTTTAAAAACCATGGACTTCAGCTGCTGCCGCGCTATGCACTTTCTTCCCTTCTAAAATTTTAGCATAGCATTTGATGGACATTCTGACTGATACACAAGACTTTTGCAGATTAATTACGAAGATGCTGTTTTTCCCTTGTTAATCCTTTCTTTATCCCTGTTGCAAGTGCACAGTTGGTTTCAAGGTGGCTCTTGAGCGAACACTACTCAAAGTTCATGTGGATTATGGACAATGTTCACTTTAAAAAAAATATGGGGGTTGTTCCTTTACAGTATCTGTTCTGTGAAGTTTGTTAAACGTAAAGAAAGCTTAAGTTCTTGTATCTTTAAAGAAAATCTTATTTAACCCTTTTTTGTGTTCTAGATTTACTTACACATGTAGCCTAGAACTCAGTTTTAGTTTAACATTGTGGAAATATTAAAAGGATTGTAATTCTTTTTCCTCCTGCTTAAAAGAAACAAAACCATTAAACAGATCAGATTAAAGTTTGAATTCTTCTCTGAGTTTCACAGAATTCCTGCTATGGCCTGATACTTTTAAAGCAATTGCATACAGGGAGAAGAGAGGTCGATAGGGTTCCCCATTCCTGTTCCACAGTTTTCAGATTTAGCCAACTGTATTGAGATAGCTTGTGGAGACACTTAAACACAGTGAGCCAATACTGAATTTATGTCCTGATACCTAAAATAGTTAGCCAGTATGGAGTTTGGTATGTTGCACTGTGTAGAAAATAATCTTAACTGTCAAAATACTCCCTATCATTTGATACTTCCAGGAGCCATATACATATTGTCTGTACATTAATATCATTGATATTGGACAACAACAACATGTCGATTTGTAGCAGATGTTCTGAACACATTTTAACATCAGCTTCACCTGAGATTGTTCGTTGACTTATTAAACAGGGAGAAAAAAATCCAGATTGAGTCCCTGCACTGATATTTAAAAGGTCTCCTGTAGAAGGAGATCCATATACCTGTACTTTAGAAAAGGGGGTATTTGTGTATGCCTATTTTGAAAAGGCATGACCTTTTAGAAATAACCAGAAATCTCCATAGCCTTTGGAAGCGTGATCCTTTTGGAGATTAATTGGCATGCACACTATTTGGAATAATCATAACCTTTTGTAAAGTATGATCTTCCTAAGAAGAGTTAAATACTCATTTGAGAATCTTCTCATTAGTGGTAAATATCCACTAGTATTCATGCAAGGCAAATAGGCTTCTCAGTTGTTAAAGTTGCAAATACAGTAGAGTCTCGCTTATCCAACCTTCGCTCATCCAACGTTCTGTATTATCCAGTGCAGTCTGCCTCCCTCCAGATCCACAGCTGTTTCAATAAATTGCGATGTTTTGGTGCTAAATTTGTATATACAGTAATTACTACATAACATTACCGTATATTGAACTATTTTTTCTGTAGATTTGTTGTAAAACATGATTTTTGGTGCTTAATTTATAAAAACGTAATTTGACATTTAATAGGCTTTTCCTTAATCCCTCCTTATTATCCAACATTTTCACTTATCCAACATTCTGCCAGCCCATTTATGTTGGATAAATGAGATTCTACTGTATATTTTTGTGAAACAGAAATGAAAAAGTAATGCTAGATACCATTAATTGAAGGAGGAGAGCTATTTAAATTAAGGTTATAATTTTGTTTGTTGGTATATGGTGATATTTTTGCACATATATAACAACAATATCTCTCTCAGTTGCTCATTTTTAGTCACTGTTTTCTGTTGTCACTGAACTTGTTCACATGTAGGTTACTACAGCAATTAGAGAAACCATCTCCTTCCGTTACATTGGTGTAAGTAACTATGTGAGTGGAAAAAACTAACTTCAGTTTTTACTGTTTATCAGAGGTATTGGCCACAGAGTTCATAGGCTGAATTCTAGACAAATCATACAAAACTTGAATCGATCCATCTGAATTACCGTTAATTATTACAGATATTGCTTACATTGCTTTTTATCTATTCTACAGAAATTACCTATTATGTCAGCCAAACTTACGCCTTCCATCTTTCAAAACTCTTGAGTGTGACTAATTGACATTATATATACTACCTATTTTGACAGAGCATTCTTCTCGCTGATAGAAAATAATGAACAAGAAAAATATTCTTTCTTCTCGCATAAATTCTTACTTTACTCTCCATTTGCTTTTTTAAAAAATGGCTATACTATATGTCTATGTAAGCATTTCGTGAGGTCCCTGTTTTTCATTTGTGCACATTTTCATTGTCACTGGCTCAATGTGTCATTAGCATGCCAGCAACACATTTGTCAGAGTTGCCAATGATTTACATACTAGCATTGTACACATTGCAGCAAGATAAAAACCACAGTTAATGTTTACATGAGTAAGTGCTGTATGCATAGCTCATATTATGTTTCAGTTGAGCTGTTATGTCCATTCTGAGAGAATGATAGGCCAAGTTGCCTACATTGGTATATCTAGTTTCTCCTACTTTCTGAAACTTACAGACTGTATTTTGTTGTCTTAAGTAAGAGTATCCGTCGATAAGAAGGCAGAACAGAAAAAGTATTGATGCACAGATTACATCAGTGAACATGGTCTGAATCATGAAAATCAATGGCATATTGCTGTCTACAAGACAAATAGCGACATTAGTCTATAGTTCTTTAGACTAAATTATGGTATGGTGTGGTGGTTTGAGTATTGGATAGACTGAAACCAGGGTTTGAATTTTCACTTGGTCACAGATCTCAGGAGCAAATAATGCTCAGGCTCAGAGGAAGGCTGTAGTAAGCACCCTCTGAACAAATCTTGCCAAACACAAAACAAAATAACCCTCTGTGGTCGGTTTACATTAGAGTTGTCAGAATTACAAAAGATGAAGTAGCCTTCTGCTTCCTGTACTCTTGATTTCTTAGAAATCCAACAACCCTGCTTTGCTCACCTATAGAGTCTGTTCAAAAAATTTCCATCGAATTAAGTTGAGTCACCTCTGTAAAAAACGTTTATGATAGCATCCTTAATTTCCACTCCTGTGTTATGCTGCTGAGTGTTGTAAGTATTGTAGAAGGCAATAGAGAAACATTTCACACATGATTACATTCATTCATTCATTCAACATTTAACGTCTAGGGAATCCTTTGGTTGAGATAGATAATGAATGTAGAATGCTTTAACATTTAAAATGTGGGGTATATGTGTTTACTATTATATCATCTGCTTCCACACTCGCCTTTTATGTACATGTTGAATTCCCATCTTTTTGCTCAACTCTGTTTTTATAGAGCACTTGAACAATTGCATTTCAATATATACTATACTATGAATTGTTTTACATTTTCCAGGATCTCACTTCTTAACCATGAAAATCAGAATTGTATCTCTAATCTATTGAACGGGGCAGGCAAAACAGAACTGAAGCTGCATGGGGCATTTGTGTCTTACATTTCATCACATTTACTAAATTCCACTGAGTGCTACACTTATTTATTTATTTATTTTATTTACTTTGCTTATATACCGCTGTATCTCAAGCCCGAAGGCGACTCACAGCGGTTCACAAACAGTAAAAACAGTAGAAACAGCAGTGGTTCCATACACTTAAAATCCAGGAAGCCACTTTTGTCATCACATTAGTTTGGCTTCAAGTGTGGGATAGAGCATTCTTTCCATATTTTAAGCATGAGGGCCAGCATTCTTATATAATGTTCCATGAGGTGGTGGGGAAGTGGATTTTTTGAAATCATCTGGATGTTTGGCCATTTCTGTAATGTGATGGCATTAATTGCTCCCAGGTTTACAATGAAATGTTTCCCCAATTTGTGGGAGGGAAAATTGTGGGAGGAGCCAAAAGTACCCTAGTTAGGGAAAGCATTACCTTTTGCTCACCGAGTTTTTACTTTGCTAGAACAATGTCTTTTTTTAAAAAAAAATAGCCTTTCCGGGTCCTTTCCTTCCCTTCCTTCCATGATATGTCCGTACCTTGTAGTGCATGAGAAAGCCGGGAGAGAAGGATGATGATTATTATGCCATGTCTCCCTACTATGCGGTCCTGGGAGTTATAGTTTCCCAAAGTCCATACCCTTCTCTAGTTGCATCTGCACTAAAGAATAAATGCAGGCAGAACCCACTTTAAATAATGTTGTTGTTGATGTTTGAAACACAACAAAATTAGTACACCGCAAACAAGGTCACTATGCTGGCTCTTGTATTGGATCACACGTCTGACACTTCCCAAGTGTCTAGGATTGTGATGTATCTGCGAATAATGCATGCAGATCCCAGTAGGGTGGCCTTTTGCAGCTGACAGATGGTAGTTTTGTCAGCGCCGATTGTGTTTAAGTGCAGGCCAAGGTCTTTAGGCACAGCATCCAGTGTGTCAATCCCCACTGAGACTAGCTTTACTGGCATGTCTTTACAGTTTGATCTTTAAATCCTTGTATTGTGTCAGCTTTTCCAGTTGCTTCTCTTCAAACCTGCTGTCACCTGGGATTGCAAAATCGACAATCCATACTTTGTTTTTTAAACAGAATTGTGAGGTCAGGAGTATTGTGCTCCAAAACTATCAGTCTGAATTCAGAAGTCCCAGAGTTTTGTGTAACTTTTTCCGGCTTGTGATCCCACCAGTTCTTTGTCACAGGCAGATGGTATTTGTGGCACAAGTTCCAATGAATTATGCCTCTGCTTGTAGTCTGTCTGCACAGTCTTCATGCAGCAGCTGAGGAAGGGGGAGACGGGAGAGAGATTGAGAGTGAGGGAGAGAGCTTTGCTGCTTTCCCTCCCTACTAGTTTTCAACAATGAGCAGAGAAAGGGATGGTGGGCGGACCAAATCCCTGCAGTGAGAAGGCAACTGCAGTGAAAGAATACTGAAAGGCAACAGAGACATTTAACAGTGTGATAGAAGGCAGGGAAAAAATCCATTTCATTAAAAACCTGCTTAAGACTGAGCTCTTCTCTGCTCTCCTCTGCCACACACTTCCCTGCCTAATGTGATGAAGTAGTAAAAATTCAAAGTTTCTGCCTGGTAGGATCTGCCCTTTTTTAATGCTGGGGAATTACTAACAAAACCTTCTAAGTTACTCCCTGATCCCTTGTATGTCCTTAATTTTTTTTTCCTTTTTCCTTTTTGTCATTTTTTGTCATTTTTCTCCTTCTTGGATCACAATTTCTCCATTGAAAGTGAAATGAAAAAAAGGAGTGTCTTTTTAAATGAAAAAACAAGCCTCTTTTTAAATGAAACTGAGCTCAGAACTAAAACTGACAGAGGTGTAATTAAGGGGGTATTCAAAATGCCATTAACAGGCTGTTCAACAGCAATCCTCCTGCTGCAGTCAACAGGAACAAATGAAAGAGCAGACCTTGGAAAGTAGAAAGCTGTTAATTAACACTGTGAGTAAACACTGTAGAATCTCGGGGAAGTAACATTTCTGGAAAATACAACACTATATTGTACTACATGGAACCAACATTTTTGCAACCCTTGAGCCTTCATGGCAAAACA